TTTGAACATCGCAGTTCTCGGCACAGAGAGACGACTTCCATTGACAGGCTTGTTTTTCTTTTCAAGTGCTTCCTCTGCTGTTTTAGCAGAACTGGCCTGAGTGCTGTTATCTCACAGCAGGCCCCTGAGAGGTACATAATCAGAATATCTGAACCGTACTGAAAAGTTCACACTTAGCGTGTAAATTTGAATTTGAAATTCACCCTTCATTTGTGCCGCTGGGCCTAAATTCAGGCCATGACTAGAGCAACTCCCCATCACATTTCGCTGTCACTTCTTCTCATCAGCTGCAACTGCAATGCCCAGACACCCCCTACCATCAAGGTGGCCATGGCAGGGGACCAAAGCTACCTCAGCACCATCCTAAGGTTCTTCGTGGAGCAGCTGGCCAACAAGACGCCCGATTGGCTGAGCTACATCCGCTTCCTGGTCATCCCCATCGGTAGGTTTGGTGATAGCCTAGACAGTAACCCCACCTACCCCTGCCAGCCATGCTTCAGATCTTTCTTCTGAACCTCATGAGGACGTGTAAAAAAAAAAAAATGCATTCACAGTCAAAAGTTTGGACACACCTAACCGCAGAAAGGTTTATTTTAACTATTCTTTACATTTTCGAATAATTGTAAAGATATCAGAACTATAAAATGACATATATGGAATAATACACTGACCAAAAAAATATTGATTTGTTGGGGGGTGCAGCTCAGTTGGTTGGGACTCAGAAGGTTGCTGGCTCAAATCCCTGGGTCTGCAAAGTGATCCCACCATTGAGCACTAGAGCCCGGCCCTTAACCCCAATTGCTCCAGGGGCTGGCTGGCCCTACTGTCTCCTCTACGCCAGATCCATGAGGTGGCCTCCTGGGATGCTATTCCAGCTGTCCTGAAGGAGGTCCCACATATGCTGAGCACTTATTGGCTGCATTTCCTTCACTCTCTGATCAAACTCCAAAACCATTTCTACTGTGTTTAGGTCATGAGGCCAGGTCATGTGATGTGACACTCTATCACTCTCCTTTGTAGCTGGCTTGGCATGTCCAAACTTTTGACTGTTACTGTGTATATATATATATATTCATTATGTTGAGGCTTTTAGCAAAAGTGACACATACTGTAGGTCAAAGCACAAAGACAAGAAACAGAGATCATTGAAAGTGTTGAGTTGTTTACAGGTGTCCTAAGTTCTAATCACATATAAAGTCAGTGTTTAAAGAGGCAGAACCCAGGGCAGAAGCTTTCACTGCCTGTGGACTACAGTCCTGTTAGAGTCAGAAAAAGGTGCCATTTCCCTAACATCGTGTTGATCTCCACAGGCTCTCATCCGCTGGCAAAGTACATGGCGTCCTTTGACGGCAAGTTCAACAGTATCTTCATGGACACGGCCTGGAGGGAGCTGTTTGGCCGCACAGAGCCACCGCTCTCGGGTACGGCCCGGCTCTGGGCCGCCACGTGACACGCCGGCACAGCCGTGACTCACCACAGTGCTCACGCCAGCAGAGTGATTGAATTAATGTGCCGTCAGAGGCTCTGTGCAAACGGTGCCGGGCCCATCTGCGATCCCTCCTAATGACCAATCAGAGGTCTAGGGGCGCCCTGCTGATAATCTCCATTGTACTAACTAGGAAAATCATTATTTTTATGTAATTTATTTTTGAACATTTAAGCCTCATTTTTATGTCCCTTGAACATATTGTGATCTATGTAATAATCTTGTATTACAATATGGCCTCGGCAAATAAATAATGTAAATAATGTCATAGTGACTAAAGGATGTATTGTAGAGTTCCCCTGAAGGGCCAGAATCCGACTCATTTTCGCTGCTCAAACACATATTAATCATCTGATTTCTAGGTAGGTATGTTTGACCAGGGGAATTGGTAAACACTGTTGGATTCTGGCCTTTCAGGACCGGAACTGGGGAACCCTGATTTACTGTCGTTGGCACTGGAAAATTTCGATCTCAAAAAAATCCTTTCACAAGGCCTGCAGGCAGGCCTGGCTCAATCTTTTCCGGGACCCTAAGCAAAATTTGATTAACCTAGTTGTCATTTGTCATCTTCCTTATCATTCTGACAGGCTGATCAGATGGGGGGCCCCCTGGTGGCCACTGGGCACTAAGCCGATTAGTTTGCTCATGCCTCGGCCTGGCACTACCTGCAGACGATAATAAAAAAATTCATTAGACTTTAGATTAGGACAGAGCTTGGTCCGTGCCCCCCGCCACCCCCCCGAGTCACTGGATCTTCCTTCCTATCTACACAGACAACATTGACGTGGCTGGTCGCGTGACACAGTACCTGACTGGAGCCAACCTGTCCCATCAGTTCCCCATCTCAGAAGCCATGCTTACCTACAAGCAGAAGAGGTAAAGTAGGCCATCCTTGTGTCTTCATGTGTGCATCTAGGCGGGGATGTGGCAGGACACCTCGTTTGGGCAACAGGGCAACTAACCACCTCACCCCCACCACATCCATCCCCTGGAGCTCGCATACACATCCCGGACGGGATTCCTGCACCCGTTGTCCGTATTGTTCCTTTAGCATTGTAACTGTGTCCCAGTCTTGCTGTGCACGATGTCATTAGTGACTGTCACTCTTGTTATCGTTGATCTATGGGTCATTCTAGGTCAAAGCGTTCTGTTAATGGAGAATCAGGGCATGTTTATCATTCAGCTGCAGTAATTTCTCTCAGCCTCGTAAAGAATTTCCCAGTTCATCGTTAAATATGACGTATGTCCTTTTTGTATTTCTGTCTGGTGAGTTTTCCAGTCTATTTTTTATTTGAGGGTTTGGTTCGTTTTTACTTTACTGAACTGCAGGAGTCCGGTGAGTGTGAAATGTAACATTTTGCTTTTCTTTGATTTTTTTTTTCCCTTTTCTTTTTTGCATTCAAGGAAGAGAAGTTTGTATTTTGATTTTTACATAAGGTATCCCTTTTTATAATTTTACTACTCCTTACTCCTTGCCGGTTTGTCAAGCTTCGTGTCTGATCTCCCGTCCACGTAACCTCACTCTCTCGCCCATGTCGGTCCTGGCCTCCGTTCCTGAGACCCTGTCGTGATTTGATCTTAACCATGCTCGTTTGTCTTTTGTTCTGTGTGGAAATACCTATCCAAAGCCTAACAATGACCCCTTATGCCTGTTTTGTTTTTAACCTTATATATTGTGATCAATGCCATGAATGATCCAGCATGCTCAACAGCCTTAAACAATGACGATGCATCCCCATGATCTGATGTGCTTTCCATACCTTTTGCCCTTTTTATTTTGATCTCAAAGCTTCAAAGAGAACCTGACACTGGGGGGTGAACATGGGTGATTACTTGACCACTAATGGGAAAAGCCTGAAAATGATTTAGTACTTTTCATGGGGACACAAAAGTAGCTTCCTGACGGAGTTGTTATAAGTACAAAAGGCCAAATAATCATAAGACACCAAGGCATGAGACACTGGCACGCGTCATGGTCTGTGTCTGCGCAGGTTAGCTACAGTCAGCTTCCCTGAGGCTGTAACTGGGAAATTGCAATATCTGCGTAAATGAGATTGGCCATGATCCACCTATAAGAGCCCCCGAAAGGCCCAGTGTGGAGGGGCTGGCATTGCTAACTCACGTTAGTGTGCAAATCCACACCATTGGTTCATGAAGGAAACTGCCAGCCAATCCCCTGGCTGACAGTGCATGATTTATAGTTGGGTAGGCTGGCCTTTGTGGGCAGAAGGGGAACTTCTGGGCAGTGTTTACCACTACTCACACTACTCATCTGCATGTGGCCCTAGAGGCCCCCTATTGGTCACAAATAGTCACTACACTAAATATTAAATAAATTTGTTCTTTAATTAGGAGACGCTGAACCAGCATGTTCTGCTAACCAGCTAGCTAGCTGTGAACTACATTTTTATTTAGTTTACAAACCTCCCCAGCTCCTGGGGGCCCGGGGCTGCCTGACACTCTCTTGCGTAAACAGAAAGGTAGCGATTCGCTGCACTGTGTGAGGACTTTGCATTTTTAATGAGCAAAACCTGAGAGGTGACCTTTGTCACATAATCCCCCTATCTGGACCACATAGTACCATTGTTCCTCTGCCCAACAGATACACTCAGGTCCAAAAATTGAAGAGCCTCGCTGGGAGGGCTGGAGTATCACTCCTCAACACCCCCCCCCCCACATTAGACAGACAGGGCTCCGTGTCCCACTGTCAACATGTTAAGGAAGAGGTTCCCCTCCCACCATACAGGACCAGTGAGTCTCTCCGGCCTGGTGATGTGGTGATAGGGAAGGTCAGGAAAGTTTACTGGTCAGGATGGCCAATCATACTGGAGCCTGCTCCATCTACAGTCTTCACCTCCATGAACATTACATGTCTTACATCCTCTGCTGTGGTTGTAAGAGCTGTGTGGACATCCATGTCACTACACCTCCTGGCCCCACCCCGTCCAGGAAAATGAGCCCATTCCAGACGCCCACCATGTGCTGTCGTTACAGATGGACATGCATACATCTCCAGAACATTGCACCTCCCAGGTCAAATGAACATCTATGTAACCCTGCACTCTACCTCCAGCCTGCAGGGTTTCCATATGTAAAACCTCCCTACCCACCCCCTGTCGCCCCCACCCCGCAAAAAAAAGACAGTTGGCCCTTTCTGCCACCATTGAACTGACATTTTCTTCTTCACCCCCAGCCCGGATGAGGACTCCTGTCAGAAGTTCGTGCCATTTGTTGGAGTAAGGCCATTTTCTGTGCTTGTTCTTCTGATGGTGGGGGGGCAACAAGACCTGTAAATGCTTCTTCACAGCGAGCTCAGCTGTTCCAGGCCCTGTAGCCGCTAAATGAGGCCGCTTTTAGATACGTTAGGGCAGTGTCTCCCAACCCAGTCCTCAGGATCCCGCAGATACTGTAAGTAGGAGCAAAAATGTGGACTGTCCGGCTGGGAGCTTGGAGGGAGCAAAAAATGTGGGTCGTCTGTTGGCCCCTGTGGGTTGGGTTGGGAAACACTGCGTTGAGAGTCAACGTTAGAGCAGTGACTGGGGGTTTAATCTGAATCAAAGAGGCAAAGGCTTCCCAGAATGCAATCCTGTCATTTTGTCCTTTTGCAGGTGGTGAAAGTGGGCATTGTGGAACACAGCCTCTCCACCTCAGGTAAAGTCTCCATCATTTGCGTTCCTCAAACTGATAACCAGAGAACACAAAGCCAGTTGACGCCGGCATCCACATGCGCTGGATCTAAAATGTTCATTCATTTCTTCATTGTTAAATAACTCTCTCACTATGAGCGATTACATGTCCAGAGTTCAGATCTTATATATAACAGCAAGATATAACAATATCTTCAAGTGAAGGTTTAGAAGGATGGTTTTCTGTTGCATGTAACACTTGAAGCTTTGCGGGTTTCATATGAGAGTTTGGCTTTGGAGCAGAGGTCAGCAGACAGATTCTGTGGCAGGTCCAAAGCAGCAGATGTCACTTGGGCTTGTACAACAAGGTGAAAAATATATCTGTCCTTCAACCCTGACTTGCCCTGGATTGATATGAACGTCAGCAGGGCAGAGTCAGCTCATTCGCTGACCCCTCTCAATCTGTGTGTCTTTTTTTGGGTCGTTGATAAAGGACATCGTCAGCGACCCCATGAGTAATTATTGCAGCCCAGCGAGCTGGGAGACGTTCGGACTTAATCCGAATTCTAGTTGACCTTTTTGAAAAAGCACCCAGTCTTTGTATTGGATGCCTTACTAGGCAGCTGAAGCCCATTCTGACTTTGGTCTGTGTTTTGACTTGCCAGAGACTGCCATATGTCAAACCATTAGCCTTTCATTTAAAGAATCCCATAGAGGGTTCAGCAATGACCAGCCACATAGAGCTACACATCTAAATGTTAATGTAGATCTTCTCTCCCTCTCTGTATTTTATGATCTACCACCACAAGATGTGTACAGTCAGTACCAGACCTCCATTGATAAAATTAGATTAAAAAAAACAATCACTGCACAGCACAGCGGATTTCAGAATAGAATCTGTATTGCATCCATTCACATTTATAAAGTGCTGATCTGTACAGTAGGTTGATGTTGTGGTTTTTGCATCACTAAGCAATGAAGTAATTAAAAAACACATGAAAAATACATGATTGGGTGATTGTGGTGCAGTAGGCAGTGCATAGTCACTTCATGCTGCTTCGTACTCAGTGTTACTGTACAGTGTCCAGCCTGAGTAGTTCACATGCTGCCTCCCCCTTTCCAGTGGATTCCGATGACGCCATGGTTGGGAGTATGAACATGCTGGCCTCTCCGCCACCCCAAACAGGGGGGCAGTACGGAAAGGAGATGGCATGCACCCCCCCGTCATCGCCCTCCGTCTCTGCTGCACTCTCCGGAGCTGGGTATGACCTGCCCCCCCCTCGCTTCCACATACACAGCGATATATGAGGCCGACAAAATGTGCAGCATAATCAGATACGGTCGTGTTACACAGCAGTCCCAGTAACAGCAACTCAAAGAAAAATCATACTTCTACATATCACTCATGCACATAAGCAGAAGTTTACAGAGATTAAGTCCCTTATTCAAGATTTTCCGCCACACCAGGTACTGCACCAGGTACTTCAAGAAGGTACCAAAAGTATGGTACTTAGAGGTGTTGATTGTCCACTGGCGTAAGAACTGGTACTGACACACGCGCACACACACACACACGCACGCACACATCACAACGCAAACCGGGGTATTTTGTACTGAATTCGAAAAATGGCTGTAGTATATTATAGGGCTGCTCAATGTCTGGTATTAACACCAGCATCGCATGTTATGCACATGCAGTTCTTACTTCACTAGTCAGCTAGATTAAGTTTAGGCTTTTTCTTACCTTCATTCTGGATAGAGATTATAGCGCAGGGAGCTTAAGTCTCGCTAAAACATTTTTCCTCTGGCATAAGGGAAAAACTTACCTAGCTTTGCCATTTTAATGATTAATCCTTTTCAAGATTATCTAGGAAATGTTTAAAAATCAGTTTAAAGTCTACAGTACCTCTGCTGCTTTTGCATGAGCGCTGCATGTGTTCTCCCAGACAATCATTTTCATCCATGCTGTTTAAATCACTCCTAGACAGGTTCATGAGAAATTTATTTTTAACTCCTTTCTCGTTTCATAAATACCTCAATATTTATTACAACAAAATCACATTGCAAAAATTTCCAGCAGCATACTGTCATAGTATATTATGTAAAATACTTTTTCTTGTTATGCCGTCCTGATCTCTGGTTCTTCTGACCAGATCGCAGCTAAAGCTTGTGTCACTTCATTCGTCCACGCATCCATTATTATTAGTGTTATGATTGTTTTATGTTTGTGATGTAATGGGTCAACCAGAAAAAGCCCAGTACTAAGGAGCTGAAAGGAGCCATATCGCCCCCTATTGGAGCGGAGTCAAACATACTTCGGTCAATAAATCGATTCCCCTCCCATGCATGTATACTGGGACAAGGACAGTAGTCTGACTAAATGGTGTAGTCGAGTTATAGCTGTAGCTCAACTTAGCTGTGCCTGTAAACGTACTGTGTGTTTCCATGGGTTTCTCCTGACACTCCGATTCAACCCCCCCCCCCAAACAAAAGTAAGCAGGTCGTCAGGTGATTAAAACTCAGCGCAGTCCGAGTGACTAACTTGCTCTCAGCATCTACATTAGCGTGCATCCCCAGCATGTGTGAACAAAGGTGTTTATTGGAATTTGGTGATCAGTGATCAGCGCACACTGCACAGCAACGAAATGTGTCCTCTGCATTTAACCCATATGTGACATTGTGACATAGCAGGGGGCAGCTAATTCAGCGCCCAGGGAGCGGTGCTTGGGGGCGGTACCTTGCTCAGGGTACCTGAGGTCTGAGGTGTCTAGTCTACAATGTTCTGCACTCACGCACTGTGTGTTTAGGGATAGATTCTGACCCATCACTGCATAATCGGATAAAGTACCAAGTGAAAGTAGATGGATGGATGACCAATCAATTATCTTTTTGGACATTGACAGACAGGAGGTGCCACACTGCTTATACAAGAAAATTGTTGAAAGACTCCCCTGCATGTCAGTATGAGAATGTAATCAAAAAAATGGCCAAAAGTCTTGTTTTTCCTGGTTAAGGTTAGGGTTGGGTTGGGGTTAAGGTTGTCTTAGTTGGGATTAGGGTTATGCACATAGAAATCAATGGAAAGTCCCCATAAAGGGTTTTATGTGTGTGTGTGTGGATGTGGGTTATGTTTATATTACGCTGTGGGGCCCAAATGTCCCCACAATGTGATAAACAAAACCCTTTTTTTTTTACCTTGTGGGGACCATTTTTCCAGTCCCCACAAGGGGAAAAGCGATTTAATTAAAATCTGTGACTACAATCAAAAAACTAAAAATGCAAAAAGTCTTGTCTTTTGCTTGGTTACTTATGGTTAAGGTTAGGGCTGGGTGGGGTTTAAGGTCGTCATTGCTGGGATAAGGGTTTTTCCCTTAGGAATGAATGGACAGTGCGCATAAGAAAGAGATGAATACGAATGTGTGTGCGTGTGTGTGGTTGGCAGGTCTCCGGGCTCAGGCGGCGAGGTCATGGGCTTGCAGGTGGACTACTGGACCTGGCAGGGTCAGGAGAAGAAGCGCGAGGGAGAGAAGAGGGACGTGGGCGTCAAGAACACCCTGAAGAGCAACTTCCGCTCTCTGCAGGTCAGCCGCATCCCCAGCGGGGGGGAGCTCACGCCCCCACCCTGCATGTCCATGACAGTGGTCATGAAGGAGAAAAACAAGAAAGGTGAGTTTCCTCTCTTGCAAGTAAAACTCCTGCCAACTGACTCTGGAAATATATCCGCATGCGATCTGTGCACTTTCACAATTGCCTGGGTATCAGATGTTCTGCTGTTCGTCACCTGGGACCAGGGGGTGTGCTGAGAATGAAATATCAATGTAAATACAACAGTAGGCTTCATCAGCTCATTCAAGCATTGACATTCCTATTCACCTCGCTGATAATAAACATAGGGAATGGATTAAAATAGGGTGAGCAGATAATCCATGTCAGGGAGGTGTTTCAGCTAGGACAGGATTTGTAAACTGACATTTCAATTAAATGGACCTGGATTTCACTTAAGCACCGAGTTCTTGCTGTGTGCTGATTGGTCAGTCTCCTATAATCATGCATGTGTCATTGATATTAACAGCTGGATGAGTCCATCGAAGAAACAAGCCAGTGAAAGCACATTAAATACTGAACTATTTAGCCAGACAGACGAGCCGTTATGAAGTAGCTCAATGTGTCCCCATGGATTATCTGGTCACCCCAATTATAGAAGAACAGAGAAGCAGACTAACAAGCTAACATTGATGCATACTCTGACGAACTTGAGGTCTCCAGTTATATTAATTATTAGTAACAGGGATTCGTCACTTTTAAGCTGCTTCTTACTGTCATGTCATGTCGGTGCTTTCTTATTCTACGTTAAATAGTGATATTCCTCAGTAAGAAACCCAAGGAAAAAGAGCTAGACTCCAAAAGCCAGGTGATCGACGGGATCAGCAGATTGATCTGCACCGCCAAACATCAGCACACCATGCTGAGAGGTGAGCGCCCAGCTGTGGACTGCAGACTAAACTCTGACACGCCCCGTCATACAGATGGGTAGAACAGAATGAGTTAAAGCTTTGTTTTAAAATGTAGCAGCTTATGGTGATTGATGAGCAAAGCAATTCCATAAGCACGGAATTTATTGCTTTTAAAGGTGCCATGGAGTGTATTTTTTTCATTATTTTAAATTGTTCACTGGCGTCTAAATAGGTGCGTGAACTTAGTTTGGTTGAAAAATGTCCAGAAGCGGTTTTACAACCTTATTATTTGGCCCTAGAATAAAACAGGCTGTTTTTCCCTTTTTTGGTGTGCTCATTAATATGTTGATGAGCTCTGCCATGATTGGCTGGTTTATAGTGAGGCACTGCATTTTCACACACAGAACCCATAACTGTACAGTTAACCACTTAACGTTTCGGTTAACGACACTGCATTTTCAACAGTGGTCCAATAAGATTATAATGGAGCTGAAAAATTCCTGTCGCCCTGTGATGTCATAGCGCAACGCTTTACTCACGTGTTTGTGGTGATGCTGGTGTAAATAAATCTACTGCACTGCCATTCATTTAAAAGTATAACATGCACAGTTATGTACAGTGCATAATACTTGATAATAAACAACTGTGTTACTGGTTTATGTATTTACTATGCTGTACTTCTACCATTATTGTCCTCTTTCTGTAACTGTAATACTCCCATTTCAGCTTAGGCACAATATTAGCATCATCATAACTTTGTTTTTAGCATCATAACACTGTAATTATTTTGCACCTCAGTCAACAAATGATTGTGCAATGCCAGCTTCGTCATGCAATTTTAATCAAGAACTCCAAACAGTAAGCTGAGCAGCGCGTAAATGTGTTGGTAATGAATTGGGACTTCTGCTTTCAGTGTTTTTGACTTCAGTGTCGATTACATGCTTGTTCAGCTACAGGCAGCACAAAAGCCTCTTGTCAGTGTCACAGACTTCGTAATGTTTGCTACCCCCCTGCTAACCTGAACAAGACTTACCTTCTTAGCCTACTGGTAAATAATAACCTCACATCAATGGCTGTTGGTATTTTTTTCCTCGCCAGGTGCCCTTGTGGACACTATGCGCTCACGCCCCTCGAGAGAGAAAATGTGTATTGCAGGTTGTTCAGGTCCATTGGGCTTGGAAGTGGGCGGGTGTATCTTAAGATTGTGGGTGTGGTTAAGACTGTTACGTAACAGTCTAGGATTTTTGAATCGGCTTGTCTTACTGCCTTTTACATATGGGGGATTTACATCTGAAAGAGGGAAGAACAGTGTTTGAGATTCACAGTATGTCTGTCCCATGTACCAAACTCCCCTTATTCAGTTATGCCACGGTAAAGTCAGATTATCATTCTATGGCACCTTTAATTTTTTAACCTTTCAGACATTTTCAACACTCAATTTCAGAACAAATAGACCTTGTGTGATGGTGGTTTGTGTAACCAGTTGTCTCCTAGTGATCTTATTATGTATTACAGTCAAGTGTAATTTTGTCACTCTGCATTTTTCTTTTAGCAAAATACACCTCACAACACCTTTTCAGTGTTCACTTTGAACGGCTGAAACGGTGGTTTGTGTAACAACCAGTCCCTTCCTAATGGTTCAGTCAGCTGTAACTTTGTCACAGGACATTTTTTTTCCAGTGATTTGGACTTTCCAGGGTTGTGTCACTGCTTGATATGAGTTAAATCTTACTAACTGTAGCTCGTCTACTGAACGATCTCCACCTGGTGGTATATGGAGGTATAACAATAAGCAGCAATTTTGTGACTCAACATTATCTCTTTCAGTAATATATACAGTAGTTTCTCATCTATATATGAAATCAAAAAATATATATTATCCTGATTATCCTCATCTTTCCAGAACATTTTGAGCTTTGTGTCCTCTGCCCACAGTATCCATTGATGGTGTGGAGTGGAATGATGTGAAGTTCTTCCAGCTGGCTGCCCAGTGGCCCACCCACGTCAAGCACTTCCCAGTGGGGATCTTCGGCTACAGCAAGCCTGTGTGATGTTGGTAGCGGCCAATAGACTTTTTCGGGAAAAGAAATTGACCAAGCAAAAACCGTAATCGATTTCCTGTGGAAACTTTACAATCTCAAACCAGTGTTCTTATTTTTTTTCAGCTGTTGATGTTATTGTTGTTTTTTTTTTACACCAGCAGAAGGAACAATGAATCTTTTTTTAAGCGTTATGTTGCCACTGAAATCAATTTTGTGGTTAGAAGAGAGACGTCATTCTTCAATGACAGCAGCTGTGTTTGCTGTGTTTGTATCGTATTGTTATCTTGTTATTATTTCTGTGAAATCCAATGTGGGTAACTGTTCCATGTACAATGTTTCTTTGATGGGTTTCAGGCTGTGTTGTGCAGATGCTGGTTTTCTTTAGATGCACAATGAGAATGCTGCTGTGATACCCTCAGTGCACCACTTCCAGCAGATATGCTGTTTAATTTTCTGTGTGTGTGTGTGTGTGTGTGTGTGTGTGTGTGTGTGGGTGGGTGGATGAGTGAGTGACCTGCTCGCGTTCTTCACGTATTCTGAGCAAACTGGCCTTTTACTTTTAAAGAACACTGTGTAAACAAGCAAAAAAAAAAAAACGAACTATACCTTACAGACAGAAAGCAGTATAGAAAATGTTGGCACTGACGTTGAAGGACGGCCTCAGAAGCGTGCCTCGGAGGATCTCAGCGGTGTGAGGAGTCACGGGTGCGCGAACCGACGGAAGCCGCTCTCAGCGGGAGACGCTGCGTCATCGCCGGCTGCCTCATCGCCGAGGCACGTTTCTCGCTCTTTTGTAATTCTCTCTAGCAGCTGAGTACCAAGTGCGTCTGACTGTTTAGATGTGCATTTACCTGGGTCCTGTGTGTAGGCGTGTGCATCGCGTGTGGCTGTCAAAATCTCTCTTCTTTTGCTTATTGGGCATGGAATGCTTGTCTCCCCCTGCTGGTAGTTTTTCACATTTCATCTGACTTTTCTGAATCCTTTTGCTGATGGCTTTGTTAAAAACAGGTTACGTTGCAGTACGTTAAGGTTACATTCAGATTAAGTATGTTCTGTCTTCTCTTCTTGCAATGTTTTTGTTACCAGGTCACTCCTAATGAAATCACAAGGCAAACATCAAATGGTATATTTACTTGATTACCCCTATGTGGTTACACCCATCCATTATTGTTTGTACCTGAATTGTTTGTATTATGTATGAGGAAATAGTCATGAAGATGGTTTGGGGGGAGGGTTGCATGTCACTGCCCACAAGTGTGAGGTCATGTGCTTTCTTGATGAGATTTTTTACCGAATCAATTTTTTAAAGGACTCTGAAATGGAGGGGGTCAGGGGTTTGCTGTGTTTTTGCATCTGCAAACATGCAGCATCTCTGCAGTTTGGCTCATAGCTTGAGTTTGCCATAGGTGCTGATTGGTTGGGGGCAGGGAGTGAGGCCTCATTGAAGTGGCTGGCTCTCAGTATGACGCCCTCGTGACTCCCAGCGGACACTGAATGTCTTCATAAGTGACACATTTCACAACATATGCTCTGTGTGTCAAGCCAAGTTTTTTTTTTTTAAACATTTTTCTACCGCTGGGATTTTACAGACAAACCCTTTACAAACTGGCAGACTGATGTCTAGTAGACTGTATTATGTCACATAAACTCCACTAGATTGATAATTACCTGCCTGTACAAAGGGATAAAATGTTCATTTTAAGTGCGTTGATGCTATTTTACAGGATATTCATTAAGCAGAAGTTTTAATACTAATGTTTTGATACGTTTTGCATCACACCTGATGTTGCCATTGAACTTACACAAAGACTATGAATTTTGAGTTTGTTTATAAATCCACCTTCCGACATGAATGGATTAGAAGAGCTTCACATTTGAAATAAAAAAAAGGCTTTTTTTTAATTGAAGGTTGCTGTGTAAAAGGATTTTGATTGCTGTTGATTGACAGGTAGTTTCAACATACGAACAAGGCGATGATTTCCGTGTGTTTGCGTTTGCATTTTTGTTCGTTCTGATGTGCTGCTCGCTGTTGCTGGTGGAAAATTCAAAACCTTCCTTTAATTTTAAAAGTGCCCCGCTTTGGAAATCCCCAGTTTTTATTTGAATTTTGAACCACAACTATGTCTTTTTTGCTGTGTTGTTTTCCACACACAGTATCTCTTCTAGGCCTTTATAGATGTCTTGTGCATCATCGGTTATTTAATGCAGAAAGCACAAAAAATATTACTTAATACCCTGTAGAAAACCACTAACTCTGAAAAGTATATTAACACACACTTTAATTCATTGATAAAGTTTAAGCCATATTGAATAATTAAAACTAAAAGATCAGCTCCATTAGTGACCTCCTATTTTAATTCATTTTAATGAATGTTCTAATGGCCAAAGGGAGACATATTAGGAATTAAATATTCTTTCAATAGAAATAGTAACATATGGATTCTGAAGTTAATTTTAGCCTTAATACTGTTACATTTTACTGATGTTAAAATATTTTATTTTTCTGAGGTATGCACTTTCTAAGCACTACAGCACAATTTTAAACCCCCTGGTAAACTTCATTAATAAAATAAATTAAAGTAGTGATATACATGAGCATATATCACATGAACTGTGAATCAAACAAATCATTTTGCATAAAGCTGGTAAAAAGGAAAACACCCACTGGCTCTAACAGCCATTTCTGTTAAACTTTCACTTTACGAAGCACTATAAAATTGTTTTTAAGCAGTAAATCTTTCTATGAGGGATACTCTCTTCTTGTTATGTGTGAAAGGTCTGTTGTGGCTAATATGACGACAGGTTATTTAGGTGTTACTTTTTATCCATAAGTGGTGCATCTTCACATGATATGTTAATAAAAGGACTATATGTGTTCCTATACATTTTACACCTTTTAAAATGTCCTGTGTGACTTCTGGTTGGCTTCTGAACTGTTTGGGTGTCCTCCTAATCTCAGACTGTCTAAGACACTTGTCACTGGCCAATGAAAAGAAAGCTTTTTCTAAGCACTAATTTTGGAAAGAATCTAAGGAGACAACACAAAATTTTGTTCAAGCTGGCCTGTCGTCATACTTGTATTTAACATTTTTGGCTATGTCTGCTACTAATACTCTAGATAGCAGGCACCTTTGCACAAACTTTGTTTTAAATTATATGACAGTATTTTTAAATTTACCACTAACGGTAACATGGTTCAATATTTGCATGTTTTACAATGGTTGTAAATATATACTGTAATTTTATATTTTGTTTTGTTTTTTTTTCATGCTCTCATGAGCAGCGGTGTTTATTAAAACATTTTTAATCTTCCTTCTGTGTTCTTCCCTTTTGTTATTCTCTGGCTACCCTCTCAGTACACATGCACATACCATTAGAATTAAATAACGTGTAAGATAAACGTCCCGGAAGACTAGACAATATGGCCTGTAGCACCACCTTGTGGAGCGTTTTAAATGCGCCGTGGGAATATCACGATGAACAAATACACTGTGCATGGGATGCCTGTCCAGTGCAAAGCACATATCCACAACACTCACAAACAGAGTTATACTCTACGGTTAATTAAGACACCATTTACTTCAGTTACACCTGAATGGTTCATTGATTGGCACACAACAATTAATTGCCGTCTTTGACTAAAAATTGAAAATGAGGAGCATAGGCGGTTGTAACCCCCACAAATCATATAATGAGGAATGAACACAAACCTTCAATAGGCCGAATAAAAAGAGCAGCCAGCTTGCCCAGCATCGTCTCGGAAGGAGGCTGAAGCGCTTCGCAGGCAGATCAGGGGAAAAGGAAGGGAAACGCAATTTAGCAGGTGGGATATAGAGAAGGCTTATCGAGTTTATATTAATATTAAACCAGGACCCTTTACTATCGTTATATGATTTTAAATTACTAATCTGGTAGCAAGTAGGCCTAGTTAAAATCATGAATAAAGTTAGGAACTAAATAATAAGGCCTACTGTAAGCCTATTTATAAGTGTATGAATGTTTAAAAAAAAATATTCACCATATTAATGTCTCCTGGCATCAGTGTCAGTACAGTATATTCCGTCCTTACATGCTGGAATTTACCTATGGTTTATTACATTTATCTATTACATCTTAAAAATTCAGTAGCCTAATTAAAACTGATCACAACGCACAAAACCGCACACTACTACTGCATTGCTTATTACAGTACAGCGTGTTTCTTCTTTTTATTATTATTATTATTATTATTATTATTATTATTATTATTATTATTATTATTATTATTATGAGCGCGCGCTAGGGCTACTGGGAGACTGGAGAGCGGACATATTGGATTTAAAGGGACTTGGGAAAAGTTGTTAACTGCTGTAATTCTGTCATTGATTGATTGTAATAATAACGATAATCATCACGCGCGCTGTTGAATAAACTGTGAGATACATGGCAGATATGACTTCTACACAAAAGCAATTACTATGATAGATGTTTACGGTGGCAATACTGTCACGGTGTGAGCCGGTTGAGCAGCAGCCTTCGGGACGGTATAGTAGGCGAGGCTGCTTCATTTCAAAGGTCTCAGAAGGTCTGAACAGCTGCGAGAGCCCAAGCGGTGTCTGTGCCGCTTTCCTGTCGCTGAAGGACTCCGATCGTGTGGTGCGATCGTAAGTTATTCTATATTTTAATTCTACTTACGTCTGGTGAAAAGAGGAAGAACGTTTAGTCTTGAAGGGAAAAAAGGAAAGTATGGCGTTGTTGAACTACTAACCGGTTCTGACTGTGTGCACGTTACTGGTTTTAGTTGAATATTTTTTAAGGATCGGATATTATCTTATTCAGTTGACGTCCGAATGTTATCGTCACTGACTGCAAATATACAGGCAAAGAGTTACTGTAACTCCGCGCGTCTACGGTACCCGTCTGTAACCGTGTGTCTTACAGGCGTGTGGAAATCGCCTGTTTAATTAATACCAGTACCAGATCGACTGACGATTATCTGGACTGAGGGAAGGTAGATCGCTTTTTAAGTGACCAGATCAAATTAGCTGATAGATTAAAAGGTAGCTAGAATTAGAATTTTCCAAATGAGCCTGCAAAACGTATAGTAAAAAGTAATCCGTGTAATTATTGTCCTGCTGAATGTGTTCACATGTGTCGTACTTGTGTGCATTTCTTTGACAGTGCCATTAATTTTGTGCTGATTAAGTTATAGTATAAAGCAAGGTTATGTCGTGCATTGTTTAATTAACGAGATTGCAATGACCGGTTCAACCACAACTTAATCGTGTTTTACTGGGATTAAAGCGTTTGCGGTCATCAAAATGGTCGAATGATTAAAGTAAAATGTCAGTTAGGTTGGATTTATTTTAGCATTGTGCTTTACTGTGCAACCGGCAAATATTAGGTTGTCAAGGAAAATGAAACGCAACAGCGTAAAGTTACCATATCTCTAGAAATAAGCATTCAAAAAAATCAAACTTTCCATGTAGACTAGTGGAAATTTCCTGCAGTGTGTCAAACATGTGTGCGCTTTAATTAATGTAAATTTAAATTAGGACATTGAGGTGTGGTTCATAATATAAATATTTCATGCCAGACTGATGAGCTGTCTTGAATATTTGAGAAATGTTAATATTCCCTCACGTGGTTTAAGAAGGTCGGTCAACCAGTCTTGTAACTTGAATCACGGGCTGTATCGATCCTGTCCTGTATGTCGCGGCTTGTACAGTAGCTGCATGGTATCTCGATCCTCTTTTGAACCCCCAGTTTCATAGGCTGTAGTTTAAAATAGCCGCAAATATTTTATTGGCTTTTATACTGTTAGAAACCACTGCCCCCCCCCCAAAAAAAAAAAAATCACAGCTAATAAAAGTATTTTTATATTTTCATCACAGATAACGTCTATAGTCTTGCTGACCGAAGTGGTTGGTTAATTCATTTCCTCGTCCATACTTCTCCGGAGTATGGACCTCCCATGTCCCCCATATTTCCCGATTTCTTCCCCTGTTTTTCACGACCTGATGCTGGCATTCGCAGGAGTGGGACTGACATTGCGTCTTGTCGTATTTCCTACCCAGGGACCTAGCACCAAAACTTGGGTCCCGGACACATTATTAATGCTAATGACATCCTATTGACTCTGCACCTGCACTCAGCTCAATGACAGTAAAGTTGAATCTAATCTAATCTTATATTCATTTCCTTTCCAATGTGTTTCCCAGTTACACCAGCCCACAACCAGGAATCTTTTCAATTGGCCATTGTGGCACTGACACCTGCACAGCAGCATGCAGCTCTTCATGGTTGTGGCAGGAACACTTATACAG